CCTGCACCAATCTTCTCGAATCTTGGCAAGCTTCATGCTCTCAGCAGAGGCTACCACCCCTGCAAGTTTCATCCAAATCAGACAAACAACAACAAAGTTATAGATAATTCATTGATTCCCCATTATACCCTATGGCCAGATCTCTGAGGCTGCTCCAAAGCTTTTCCGAAGCAGTTCGGAAGCTTCGAGCTGCTTCAGAAAGCCTAAAGAAGCCAGTGCTTCAATCTGGACATGGTGCTTTGGATGCCAAAGCATCCAAAGCTTCTGTGGATCTGAAGCACAGTTCGAAGCCTCACACAGTGCTATAAATTTGCTAACGTTTGTGAAGCACTCAGTCACTATAGTGATGTGTTGCACAAAAGCCAGTGTCAAAATGAATAATGGTCTTTTCAAAACTGGGGGGGGGTGAATTGTGGGTATTCTAGGAGGTGTAGGACAGCACAATAACAGTGAGGAGTTGATTGACTAGCTATCTACCCAATGAGTATCACACAGCTGCTGCAGAGTGAAGCAGAGGTCCAAGAGAAAAATATCATGTAGAATGCTGTACTGCAACACTGTCACTGCAGATATGTGCAGGAGGCCTGAATTAGGTGACATTGGAAACTAACTGCCATTTCCTTGTTTTTGAGTGCTGGACTTCGCAAACGTATTTATGTTCTCAGTGTGCATATGATAAAGACACAATCTAAGGGTTCCAATTGGATGTAAAGCTCAATATCAGATATGCAGGGGTTTAGGTGTAGCCGTGTTGGTCTAAGGACATAGGCAGACAAGGTTCCTTGGGTGAATTTGATATCTTTTATTAGACCAACCCAAATAGTTGGAGAATATTTATTAAGCAAGCTTTCGGGTTCAAAAACCCTTCGTCAGGCTAAGGAAGTTTCAGCAGTTGGTGTGTGCTCTTCCTGGATGGAATGAAAAGTAAAGAAGCCAGGGGCTGGGCTGGGGAGTCAGTTGCCAGGCAGATTGTAATGTATCAAAAATCCAATGTCTATGTTTAGTCCATGATCTCTAGTATCCAGGAGGCTGATGAAATGGAGCTCATAGGCTCGTCTCTGGGAAGTGTTGTATAAATTTCCCTTGAGGATCAGGACTGAGAGATTGGAGAGAGAGTGGCCCTCCTGTGAGAAATGTGCCCCCACCGGTAATTGGGTATTTCTGTCTTTGATGGATTTCCGGTGTGTGTTCATTCTGGTGCGCAGTTGTTGTTTGGTCTCTCCTACATATTTTCCCAGAGCCACCCATCCTAGCCTTTAAACAAGCACCGAACCTCGCCAACCTCATCACCAGAAGCAAACTTCCTCAAGCCCAGAACACACCAAAAGGATCCAGACCGTGCCAGGACAAGAAATGCAAAACCTGCCAACACATCTCCACCACCCCCACAATTACTACACCCCACAACAGAGCCATCAGCATCCCAGGATCTTACAGCTGCACCTCCAGAAATGTAATATACCTCATCCAATGCACCAAATGCCCTGATGGAAGATACGTAGGAGAGACCAGACAACAACTGCGCACCAGAATGAACGCACACCGGAAATCCATCAAAAACAGAAATACCCAATTACCGGTGGGGGCACATTTCTCACAGGAGGGCCACTCTCTCTCCAATCTCTCAGTCCTGATCCTCAAGGGAAATTTATACAACACTTCCCAGAGACGAGCCTATGAGCTCCATTTCATCAGCCTCCTGGATACTAGAGATCATGGACTAAACATAGACATTGGATTTTTGATACATTATAATCTGCCTGGCAACTGACTCCCCAGCCCAGCCCAGCCCCTGGCTTCTTTACTTTTAATTCCATCCAGGAAGAGCACACACCAACTGCTGCAGCTTCCTTAGCCTGACGAAGGGTTTTTGAACCCGAAAGCTTGCTTAATAAATATTCTCCAACTATTTGGGTTGGTCTAATAAAAGATATCAAATTCACCCAAGGAACCTTGTCTGCCAATTTCAGATACAGTCTTTTGAGAGAACTCATGAGCACTGATTAGTGGTCTTGAAAAATCCAAAGTCTTCAGATTTGCACAAAGGGTCAGAGAAGGGACTTGTTTTCTTGGGATATAGGATTTTCTTCTTTTTGTTAGTAACTAAAGACAGGGGAGATAAACTTCTAGGATGCTGGAGAAGCAAGCAGAGGAGGTATGTTATGGAATCTATTTTGATATAATCTGTTTTTTTTCTTTTTAAAGAAAACTCTAAGTAGCCCTGCAAGTTGATGTGTGGGCTCTTGCTGGATAGTGTCACACACAGACCACCCTGAAGATGAACAAGGGCCTCACCCTCTAGCTGAAGAAGCCAAGAGGCCTTTTTGGGGCTTAACTCTCCCTTCTGATCTAGGCCAGGTCTATACCAGCAGCATTTGCTGATATAGCAACACCAGTAATCTATACCAGGAGAGGTTTCCTAGTATGGACACTGTTATAAGGCAGAGCCGCCCTTTGTATCAGCATAGTTTGTTTTGGCTAATGGCTCATCCCAAGCAAAATAAGCTCTACTGGCAAAAATGTGGGTCATCTGGTATAGCTAGGTCTACATATATAGTGTCAGCCAGCTCACAAATGGAACTCGCATCTTTCCCGTCCACGACCAAGAGAACTATGCACGCTGCCGTGTAGCCCTGGCTGCAGCCATGACAGTTGGTCACTTTCAGTGGGGTGCATAGCAAATGGCTGCTGCTGGTAGACACAAGGTAAGAAGCCTATGGACTGAGGAAAGAGTTGGTGCAGGGTGAGACTGATGGGCACCATTTTAAAGCTAATTTTAACTCATGAATGCGAATGACTCCGTCCTTCTTATGATTTCAGCAGGGCTTAGAGTTTAAACCATAGCCCACACTGCTTCCATATGAACTCATGCATTCACTAGGGTAGTCTGTTACCCTGGAAAGGGGGAACACGAGCTGTTGGGGCCAGGAGGCTAGCCGAAGGAAGCCCAGGCCAACTATCTCCCCAGAAGCAATTATTTCTGACATTTCCTCGGACAGCAAGTAGAGTTGCTTCTACTGCTTTGTCATCTCTGCTGACAGTATCCTGGCTCTTTAGAATCGCACTGTTATTATGGTGCACTGTTTAAACATGGGAAGCTAGAGAGACAGGGAATGATGATGATCAGTGGTTTATGGCAGGGCTGTCCAACTTAGTGGCTGGGGGCCACATGCTACAGGGACCACACCAGTGTAGGCCATGGGACCCCTGGGTACTCCCCCACTACACAGAGTACACAGGCACTTCCTTGTTGTACCAGACTTGTGGGTGTCATCCCTCCACCCACTGCACCAGGTACATGGGCACATGTGCCCCAGCCATACCTTCAACTCCCTGGCTGCAGACTCCTCCACTGCACCCACCCTACTGGCACCCCATGCCATGGGTTTCCCAAGCACCATGGAGTGTGTCAAGCTGCTCTGCCTCACCCCTAGGATGGAGCAAGAAGCAGAAGCCAGAGCGAGGGGAAGTTCAGAGCCTCTAACTGCTGCTGCCGCAGCTGGAGTAATGGGGGGAACAGCAGCCAGGTGAGAGCCTAGGGGCTGTAAAATAACCCCTCACAGGCCACCAGTTAGACAGCCCTTGTTTGTTATACCTTGGCAAAACCTGGATGGAATTTCTTGGGACAAGAAGACAGTGCTCTGGCCGGAGAGCTTCCCCCTTTCCCACAGAGTTATTTTAAACCTACTCCTTCTCAGAAAGTCAGCAGCGGTGTTATGTATAGTAAATGCTTATGCGTCATTAATAATTGGAACCATGCTATGCCAATAGATAATTTTAACAGCACTTTGGGCTTGAAGAATTGGCATAGGCCTCAGAATCAGAAGAAACTGACAGCTGCTCAGATAAGAATCTGGAACCAATCTAAGTGTGGAAGACAAGCTCTGTTTGACATTTGGTTGGCGTTCCATAGAAGCCTGTAGGGCAGGCAAAACCCCAAACAAAGTCAAATGGATTTAAATCATCACTGCATATTATGTTGGCATAGTATTGGTGCATAGGTGTGTATGAATAAGGGGTTTTGACTAAATACATCAGCTGTCAAAGAGGGCTTCTGTTCCAAAATGAATTTTTTAGTAGTTAAAACTGTCCGATTCCTTACATTCTAAAATTAATGTTATGTTTATATGAATTGCTACTGGCAGTTGAATCACTTAACTGGCAAACTGAGAAGGACCAGTAGGACAGATGCAGAGTTCTGTTTAGTACCAAAAGCAATTGTGTAGGATAATACCAAAGAGAACATTACCAGTGTAACAGGAGTCCATCATAAATCTTGGATTAAGTGATGCAACGTATGACTTTAGGATGAAGGCATATGCCTCATTCTTTTAAACCTGGACAAACCAAACTTTAAGTGTCTCATTTAACTAATAAACCATTCACAGTCACAAATTCTCTGGTCTATGTTTTTGGTAAGAAAGAGCAAGTCAAAGGAAGACCCTGGGGTTGTAACTAGTGAATTAATATGGCTCCTACACTGAAACATCATATTACACTCACACTTCCCCTTCCTTACAAGTTCTCACACTTGTATAACTGATCTGAGTCCTGTGTCTTTGGGTTTCAGTCTCTGAATATGCTCTTCACTCTCTCCTTTCATCTCCCTCCATCTTTGCACCTGCTTTCAAGGCCGTGCACTATGGCCATCAGGGCTAGAATGCACACCTCTATCACAGTACACCAAGCACCTGCCTTTACCCCTTCCCAAACCTTCAACTGTACACGATGCTACACACTGAGGAACAGCTGAACATTGTCTATCAAAATGGTGTTTTGATAGAAAATTGGAGATTTAACTAAATTATTTTATTTTATTTTTCTCTGTAACTATTTTCAGCTTAAGTCTGACTTCACATGTTCAGATTTTCTTTTAAAAGCAAATAAGAATATAGTCTGGTCAGGGATCTTGGCCCATAGAGGGGGGAAGTCCCTCTCAGTTGGAAGGTTTCTGCTCTGTTTTATGTATGCTCACTCTCTTTTTTTTCCCCCTCCTCTAGAGCAAAGGAGATCAAGACCAAGTTGGGCACACTCCTCCAGAAGCCTGACTCCGCAATTGACCTTATCATCCCATACCCAGAGAAGCCAGAAAAACCAGCCAAGGCCCAAAAGTAAGTCTTTCCCCATGTCGAGATGCTGGCTACACCAAGTGGGTCAGTAGAACCCATGGAATGCTATTGGGAAGTGAGATCATTATGGCAGGTCACTTGCTTTGTGACAGCATCAGCTGTAGGAGTGGGACATCTTCTTTTTCTTTTATCTTTGACTTCATGTCCCATGAGGCTCTCCAGGTAAAACGAGGGGACTACAGGCTCAACAATTCAACAGTCAGATGGGTAGGAAACTGGCTGTGGGGTCAGACCCAGAGAGTACTAACAGAGAGATCTATGTCGACCTGGCAGAAGGTAGCCAGTGGGGCCCCCCAGGGTTCGGTACTTGGACCAGTGTTTTTCTACATCTACATGAATTATCTGGATGTGGGGGTGAAAAGCACACTGGCAAAGTTTGCCAATGACACTAAGCTTTGGGGAAGTGCAGCCATGCATCAGGGTACACTGACAATCCAGGCAGACCTAGAAAAATCAGTTAAATGGGCAGACCAGAACCAGATGCTGTTCAACAGTGAGAAGTATAAAGCGTTCATCTGGGGAGGAAAAATCCACGACAAATTTACAGGCTCGGTGGTGCTACGCTAGATAGCACCATGTCCGAAAGGGACTTGGGGGTCATAATTGACCATAAAATGAATGAACCACCAGCGTAAAGCTACAGTTAGCAGAGCAAACAATACACTGGCATGCATTAATGGATGCATCTCAAGCAAAACTAAGGAAGTTATGCTCCCGCTCTACTCGGCATTGGTAAGGCTGCAGCTGGAATACTGCATCCAGTTCTGGGCACCACAGTTCAAGAAGGATGTAGAGAAGCTTGAGAGAGTCCAGAGAAGAGCCACTCATATGATTAGAGGCCTGAAGAGCAAGCCTTACGAGAAAAGGCTAACAGATATGGGACTGTTCAGCCTAGAAAAGAAAAGACTTTGGGAGGGATTTTGTGGCAGCTCACAAATATATCAGACGACAGCATCAGGAGCTAGGCGAACAGCTATTCACCAAAGCGCCCCAAGGGAAAACCAGGAGCAACGGTCATAAACTCCTAGAAGAAGGTTTCAGACTGGATATAAGGAAAAACATCTTCACAGTTTATGGGACCAGACTCTGGCATAGATCCCCCAGTGGGTGAGGGGAGGGGTGCAGGCTGCTACCCTGGAGATCTTCAAAAGGAGACTGGACACACACCTTGCTGGGGTTATTTGACTCCAGCAGTCGTTCCTGCCCAGAGCAGGGGGGCTGGACCTAATGATCTCACAAGGTCCCTTCCAGCCCTAAACTCCTGTGAATCTGTGTTTTGAATTAAATTTTAAAATCAGTTGAGTCTATGAACAGACTTTTCTGACCTAGCTCAATTTTGGATAGTTACATTCTGCCCAGCCATGTTCTTTCTGCTGTTTCAAATGCATGGTAGTGCCCTTTGCTCCCTATCCTGAAATGTGGCTACTTTCTTCACACCTTTTGCCCCCATCTAGAGTACTTTACTGAATGGTGTGATATGTTACTAGTGACGTGGAGACCTGAAAAGGTCGTTTTTTCTCAGTGGCATATAATAAAGAAAATATTCTTGGCCCAGTGAAGATGGTGACATTTATGGATGGGAATGCATTTCCATTCTGATCCTCCCTTGTTATCACTTGTCACTTCCCTCCTATTTATGGTTTTGGCTGAACTTTTTATGGCTTGTTTTTATCTTAGGGCAGCACCTAGCTGCCTACTCCAATGGAAGAGAACAAAAGGCAAAATCCAAACAACCCCCACAGGCATCTTCAATTTAGGCTTTCACATGCTTAAAAAATGGATTATTCAAAGGGGAAGAGATTAGGTGCCTTACCTTGCTGTATAACCTATGGGGGAATGAATTGCCCCTGAGAAGCCATAGATGATGACTGGGGAGGTATCAAGAGCTAGCCAGTAGGAAACAGTAAGCAGAAGGGTATTTTTGATCCCTGACCCTCTTTGGAGTTGAGGCATCACCTGCAGGGTTGCACATTCAAGGCTTCTCTTTAGATATGAAGGTCCTCTTCTGAGAGCAGGGATCTGAGCAAGTTGGCAGAGTGCTTTTGCATGATAACCTAGTGTTTAGAGTGTTGCTCTAGGTAGAAGGACACCTGGACTTTGGACCATCCCCAGATTAAGCAGATTCAAACCCACATCTCCCACCTTCCTTGAGAGCACAGTCAAGAATGCAAGACACTTGTTGACCATAAGTAGTGCCAGAAAGTAGGAACCTAGTTCAGTAACTTTGTGGTGGGAGATGGAAGTCCTGAGTTCTGGTGCTGGCTCCTAGGACTGTTCATCCTTTTAACATTAAATGCTCATTGCTTAAAAATAGAAATTATGCTAGCAGTGGAAACCAGACACTGGAATACCCAGCTTTCCAGTTGAGTACCCTCAACTAAAAAATTGAGCTCCCTTGCCTTTGTTCTCCTTCTTGTCCCATGGCTTTTATATTCAACGATGCACAGTGGCCCAGCTTTAATAACAAGGAAGGTCAAAGGTGGCCAGACTATAGTGTGGTGGTTAAAGCATTCTAGTGGGAAGTTGGAAGATGCACATTTGAATCCCTTCTGGTGGAGGAGAGCCTAAGACCCAAGGTTTTCCCATTTATGGTTGTGTATTCTTACCACTAGACCATTAGGTAAACAGTGGCTGGTGCCACCACTGCTGTGACAGTTTTGAGTGACAGTGACTGTAGCTGCTGCCCTTTGCACTGTTAGCGTGTATCAGGTATGTTCTACGGGATTGTTTCCCTGCCATTATATCTGGATCATTGTACACCTTAAGCAAGAGTTTAGTACCTAACTGTTCAGACTGGGACACCTCCACACATTCACAAAAGCCCATGTTTCGGTCCCCTTGGTATATTTACTGTCCAAAATATGGGTGACATCTGAATTTAGGCACCTTAACACTTTTGGTGGCTATCAGAGCAGAGGGGTTTGGATTGCATTTTACAACTTGGGTGCCCAAATTCCAATTAAGTTCAAACTAGATACCTATTTTGCCAAACTGGATAAAGTCCTAAGGACATATAACTCTCTGTTGCACTCCCTACAGCACAGAGACCTCTTCAAAGTCCCCTGCCCCAGTCCCTGAGCACGGTGCCCTTTGATAAGATCCCTCCCTTGTTTCTTGCAGCATAGTGTTCTCTGCAGCACAGCACCTGGTTTTATGCTGCTGAATTAAGTCCAGAACACTCCTCCCTTCCTTTTCCTTCCTTTCTCACCTTCGTTTCTCCCTTCCCTGCAGTCTTCTCCTTCAATCTCCTTCAAAGCCCTAAGGGCTTTGTCACATGTTACATTTAGGATGTGTTAACTGCACTTAAAACTAGCATCTGCACATTTAAACACTAGAACATGTGCTAATGCCATCTTTGTGTAGTGAAATTAAGACTTTTCTAGCAAGGAGTATCTCCAGATTTTATTACCTAATAGACTGAGCTAATGTCCAACTGCTCCACAAAGCTAATATGGTCAGTGCAGTGAAGAGCAGCAAGTAGGGAGCACATTCAAGACTCTGATGTAGTGCAGGAGCTGGAACCAAGAAACATCTGTTTGTCAGTCACACTGCTGCACACCGCAACTCGTAGGAGTCTTCAATGGTTCCAATGCATAAGACGTGTTTTATTTAGATAGTAGTAAGTACTACCATACAGCTGCTTGGAAAACTTTCTAACTCATAGAAATGTTTGCTATGATCTAAATAAAACACATCCTAAGTGTAATGTACAATGAGGCCCTTATAAGAAAAGCAGCATTGTAGCGGGGAATTTACAGAGCACTGGAGGAAAGAGTTAGCTGGTATTAGAGCTGTGCGAAGCTTCGGGTGGTGATTCAATTTGGAGGAGATTTGGCCAGATTCGGTGGCTGAATCTCCAAATCCGAACTGAATCAGGGGACCAGTTTAAAGGTCCAAATTGATTCAAAGCTCTCCGAATCTTCGGCAAAGATTCGGAGAGCTTTGATGATTCGGGCAGTCCCTAGTGGCCGCAACAGGGAGATGAGGAGCCAGCCCCCGGGGGCGGCAGCAGGGAGCGCCAGCCACTCCAAGCTGGTAAGTACTAGGGGCGAGGGAGAGGGGGCTGGAGGAGAGGGAAGGGGACCATAGGGGGACCCCTGCCAGCCCCCCCCCAACCCCCGCCTGCCCCAGCTTGGTACTTTAAAAAAAAAGCCAACCGGGTGCTGCTGGGCAGGGGGTGATCCTGACTGCCTCCCACTGCCCCATGCTGCATGGGGGGCTCTGCACGAGCCCCCTCAACCCCCCCTACTCCTCCAGCCCCACACGAGTGCCCCAATTGCTGGGGCTCTGGCCCTTTAAGGAAAAAAAAAAGCCAAGAAAAGCTCCGGGACTCACCACTCCTGGTGCAGCCTTGGGGCTTCGGGGGTTCATGCAGAGCCCCCACATGGCGCAGGGCAGCGGGGATCACCCCCTGCCAGCAGGAGCCATGAGTCCCGGGGTCTCTTCAGGTTTGTTTTTTTTTCTTAAAAGGCTGGAGCTGGCCCATGTGGGGCACCCGTGAGGGGGCTGGGGGATTCAGGGGCTTGTGCAGAGCCCCTACGCAGCCTGGGGCAGCAGGGATCGCCCCCCCACTACCCAGCAGCACCTGCTGAGCCAGGGCTTTTTTTCCCCCCAAGTGCCGGGCACTGGGGCAGGCGGGGCAGCCATTGCTGGGCTGGGAGAGGGGCAGGGGATGGGCCTGGCCTGGCTGATTTGGAGATTCAGCTGAATTGAATCAGGACAGTGATTTGAATTGCCGAATTGAATCACTGTCCCCTGAATCGGCCGAATCTGAAGTGAATACTAGCCATTTCACACAGGCCTAGTTTGTATGAGATGAATTCTTCTCAGGGTGACCATATGTCCTAGTTTGGCTGGGACAGTCTTGGATTTTGAAGGCCACTCCCAGCGTGTTGGTCAAAATTAAAATGAGAGTTCCAGAATCACAGGGGCATGGGGCACAGTCCAGCAGAGTGGCATGGTGTACCAGGCAGCTCCACCTC